CTGAATGTTTAAAAATGGTAAGACAGTTTTTGCGAATGAAATCAGTTATTATAGTAACCCTTTTGTACATGTGCATTTAAGAACTACCTGTTCTTAAGGTATGAAATATACTTAAAACAAACCCAGAGAAGTAATTGAAGACAAGACATACACTTAAGTATTCTTATCTCTATGTTATTCCTTCCTTTTTTTGATTCTTAATTGTCATAGCTATAGTTTAAGATGGCATACTGACTGGTATATTAATTATTATGTGTTACTGGAATATGGTGATTTAGGAGTTAGTTGTTTTAAAATTTCAGATGTCCCTTGTATATTTTTGGGTCCAAAATGGCCAGCACCAAATATGTGGTTAGTTAAATACATTTCACAGCTGCATTTGGAACTTGAACTAGAACTGCACTATGAAAATCCAACTTACAGGCATTTATTTTTTGTGTCCTTACATAGAATTACCATAACAAATTCTACCATTTCTTTTACTCCTGGTGAAAAATGGCAATAACAAAAGACAATGGCAAATAGACTGATTAGTACTGAGTAAAAATCCCTAAAACTGTGTATGAATACATGGTCATTCCAGAGTAACATTCCCTCTAAAATATTAGAGGGAATTTGTCATTGCTCTGGTCAATATACGTTTCAGGATGGAGTTGGGAATAGTTGCAGCAGATAAACTATTGAGCTGATTAGGAACTTTCAGTTATAAATTTCTGGCTTTTAAAGATAAAACACGTCTCTTTGTGCATGCCTACCCGGTCTCTCTGCTTGTTACAGCTGAAGGGAATGAAAAGATTTTGCTCTTCATGATATTTATTCCTGTATCCACTGAATGCAATTGTGGTTGTTATCATTGACTTCGTTAGCATAGAGATTCAGCTCTACAGATCCATAGAAATCTAAGAGTGTTCCCAACCATGCCATTTTGCACAAACTCATCCAGCTTCTGATCCCCAGTTCTGTTTCCCTTTTGAACCCCCAAACTGTTTTTTTTTAGTCAATTATAAGAATGCAATGGTTTTGAGTCTAAGCCTTCCTTCCTGCTAACCAGGAAGGAAGGAAGGAAGGAAGGAAGGAAGGAAGTATTCCATCCTGTTCCTTTACGTAATCAAACATATAAGTAGATGGAGGGAGAAACCTCTTCCCCTCTTCTCTTCCAGCAAGGTTTGGAGACAGCAGACTCCCGCAGCCGGTCTCACTCCTGTGGGGGAGCTGAGGCCTGGCTGGGCCTACGGGGCCTGTTGTTTCTGCTGATCCGGAGTCCAGTAGCGTGGCAGCAGCGGCATTGAGTGCGATTGTGCTATTTCAAGGAAAATATTAAGGTTTTCTTTGGCTAGTTTTTTACTGAGTGTGTATACCTGGTTTTTTTCAGGGTTTTTTTTGTTGTTTTGTCCCTTTTCCTTTTCTGTTTTTGGTTGTTGGGAGTTTTTTTTTTATGTGTATATAGTTGTTGTAATTGTATATATAAATGTAATATAAGTGTAAATATATTTTGCTTCTCTTGTTGTTTATTTTTTTCCCTTGGTTTTGGAGGGGGGGAGCTCTTGTGGTGAGGTTTGGAGACTTGGCAGGGAGCCAGCTCCAAACCACCACAAAGCTATAATACCACATCACTCAGAGTAACTTTTCTCCTACACGTTTCCTTCCAAACCTCTACATAAAAGTTTAGCTGATCTATCATCTTCTCTCTGTATATAAACCAATTTTATCTGTATGTTCTCTGTGTTTAAGAAGTCTTATGTGTACACGGAAATTAAGGTACTAAACAGGCAATCAGAATTTTCTGGCATGCAGTTTTCTAGTCTGCATCTAGAAAGGCTCACGGATGATTATAGTAACAAATATTCTAGTCTCAATTAAAAGTAATCTATTAAAAACATTCTTCTTGGTTATAGATGTAATAATATATATATGTGTACTATCTGAAGAAGTCCAAACGACTTACTGCTCATAATAGTTACAATTATCGTGAGGATAAACTACAACTAAAATGAACAGGAAATGACACAAACTAGGAAACATTGAGTTTTTAGCATCTATTGTTATAGCTGGGGAAAGACTGGTTCTGATCAAGCAGCTATTCAACAAAGACAACTGTTGAAGTCGCTGTGGGAGTTTCATGTTCTGAAAGACTTTAATATGATCCCTTTGAATTTGCCTTTATTTCTTAACATTTCTTTTGCTGAGGTTATCCTTCTGGCTTCAAGTGCCTCTATAACATTCAACATATTCAAATTGCAAGCATTAAGACCATGAAATAAACAGTGAGATACCCCATATAAAAATTCACCACATTCATACCATACAATACATACATCACATACATCAGTCAAAAGATTACTTCTTCCTATCAAGACCAACAATACAAGGGGCCTTCCTCACAACAGACTTAAGGTGCCTGCTACAGTGTTTGTTCATCTCAGCTTCCACAGAATAACAAGATTTCCAGTGGTCTGTATTGCAGCTGATGATGGGTTCAAAATCCAGTGGCAGCATTTTTCAGTTCTTTCCGCGGTGAATATTAGTGTGAGCGTACTGAAAAAGAGTTTACCTTGTATCATTTTTTGATGTTTATATTTAAATAATCTTCTAGAATGTTGGGGCTCTGTATGTGAACCACCTTAAGAAACTGCATCTTAGTTTCTCTTTTTTCTGGGTAAGTATAATGCCCAAAAATGGAATGAGACATCCTGTGGAGCTTGTGAAAGGGATTCCCATGATGAAAGTTGGCGGAAACTGAGGGTCAAGATACTCAGTCTACACCAAATGGTGGCACATCCGAAATCTTCACTAAAAGGATATTAAATCTTTAAGTTGTCTAATAGTACCAGTAGTGATTGTGGCACTCCCGGTACTTGTCTCTGTATTGAAAGCTTTATCTTAATTGTTATATTAAGATGGGTGAAGTGATATTAATAACTGATCTTCTTTTCCTTTTACTAAATGTGTATAAAGTTTATCTTTACAGAATGCCATGATCATAATTTAATTATCCCCTGTGAGAAGATGGGATGCGGTTTTATGTACCATTAATAACTAAAAAATGTCTTTAATAGAATTGTTATTGTCCAAATCACAGTCTGATATTCCTGTACTCTGGTAATGCAAGGAAATAAAGTTCTTCCTCATCAGCCATCCAGTATAAAAGGACATAGGCAATGAGTTGAGTTGGGGTGTACCAAGATTATTTTCGTCCCTCTTCTCATTTTCTGCTTACTTGGTCCAAAAAGAGAGCATTTCAGTTTGTGGTTTTCCCACTTTCTCACACTATGTTCTGTTATCTAACAGCCTACAAAGATTGAAGGTACCTTAAAACAGGTAGCTGATTAATCTATGCCATTCAATCTTTCAGTAGAAATACTAACTAACAAAAAATACTTCAGATAATGGAAAAAAAGTCTATTAATCATCAAAAAAAAGGTATAATAATAGGGATAAAACTCTGCTTCTGTTGGTAGATCAGTTTTGAATGTTTGAAAGGCACATACATACACATGTACTTGCATTTGAGTTGTAGCCAATCCATGCAGTCTGTAAGCTGCTGTCAATTTACTGCATCAACATCCATCACATAAAGTTATTACATATGCATCTATCATTTGGTGTATTAGAAATAAAGTCATTGTAATAGAATTTTGTCATAAAATCAATAACTTGGAAAATAAATTTCTTGACTTCACCTCAAAATTTACAGTGTTTGGTAGCAGGACATCATTATCTTTTGACAATGTTCTATAGTGGTGGCAATATCTCTTAATTTAAGACCAAGTACACTACATGTCCTTTAATTCTTTTATTTATAGATTTTTGCATTAAAGCTACTATAAGGTTCAATGAAACACAAGGCATGAAACACTGTTCATTTCACTACTTCTTTATCACAAACCTGACTCTTCACACATTTGCCTTAAATTGTTTCATGCTTTGACTTATCTATACTGTATTGAAAATGTAACACTGCAAAAATGCAATAGCACGTATTTATTAAATGTATACCAAGTCTTCTGCCTGTCTTCAGATGAGATGTTGAATGGGTGTGGGAGTTAGTGACATGAGAAGTTCTTTTTTTTTTTTGATCTAGCCAAGCATCAGTAGAACTTCTTTGGCTACTGAACTTTTCTTATTGGTCACTGACATATCTGAGACAGCAGTGCATATCTGTGAATATTTGTCATGGCCACAGTTTTTAGATAAAACCTATAGAATTTATGTTTGGATGGATTTTATTCCCTCCATACTGGCTTTTTAATTGTGTAAAACAATGGAAATGAAGAACATGACTATAAACTAAAGGCCATTTGATATTTTTTCTCACAATATCAGTTATCATTAACATTCATTTCTGTTGACTACTGACAAAACAAGAGACAAAACACTGCTGACTTACAGATCAACTTGGGAAAAGCTCCAGTGATGTGTCAGTGCTGGGTTTGTCTCTGCCTTAGAAGAGAGATGATAGATAATTCAGTAACATGACCTAAACCCAACTGTTCTCACACATTTGCTTCGACTTCTGAGTGCACTACTGTTGGAGGATGAAAACGAAGAATGGAAGAAAAGCATCGAACTCAAGGTTCCTCCTGAAGATGAAACCATTTTATAAATGGATACAGATTGTAATGGACTATTTGAGTTTATGCATTTTGGGTTTTATGTCATGTTTCCTAATTTTCTGTATAATTCCCTATGTACTGTGCTTAAAGTCCTGGAAAATTTCCTTGTCCCTCATGGCCCTGAACCCTTCCCCCTCATTGGTTGAATTTTGCTGCATTGCAGTACCCTTCCCTATATGGTTGTGCCATCCCCCTGTTTTGCATCCTCCGCCCTTGCTCCTCCCCAGTTACACTCTCCTTCTAGCGAGTTCTCAGCTTAGCCTGTAGAAGGTGAGAGCCATTTTAATAAAGAGGCCATTTCACCTTGGACCCTCGAAGTGTGCCGACCCTTTCTTCCTGTGAAAAGCCACACATTATCACCAACCTTAGAATGGAAAAAAAAGATAGGAAAAATACAAGGTGTAAGTGTTTTTTTCGATGATTTTGTGTGTCTCAGGAAGACTCTTACTGTCCCTTTTCTATGAAACCTGGGCAAAAAGGAGAGAAATTCTGGAATTGCAGGACCCCATTCACTAAGGTAGATGATGTTTTATTAATATTTTATTGAATGGTTTGTTTCTTTGTTTGTTCATTTGTTTCTCATTATGGTTTCACTTTGTTTTGTATTGTTACTAAGTCTAGAAAGTCCTGATTTGGAAAGCAAGAAAATGTAGCTGTACTCAAACAGTTAAATAAGCTACTCCGCTTTCCCTCCCCACCCCTCCAGTGAGAAAGGGGCAAAGACATTGTGGAGTTGAGATAATTTACTGAAAGCAAACAACAATGGAAGAAGAAATGCACAGGGATAGCAACATTAACAACATTAATAAAAAAGTATATCATAGATAAGGTGCTTTATGCACAAAAATTGTTCACCATCTTGACTCAGTTCCACGCCATCACCGAGACAAAAACAAGATGGCATATTTTCTCTGAAGCTCACAGCGACCGCAATTATTCCTGAGACAATGACAAGATGGTAGATTCTCTCTGCAGCCAGTGTTCCCCAAGCCCAAGCCCAAGACTGTGAAAAACAATTATGGACAACCCTCCAAAAAGCTGGATCATCTGCACTGTGCTGCCCGATTTCCAGACTGATTTAACTCCGCATAGTGCAATCCACTCCAGACTGCTCCATTCTGCTTGGCTGTGCTTGCCTCCTCTCGAATAGGTTCACTATCGCTCTTCCCTGCAGCTGCTTCTGGCATGGGCACCACAGTGCATGAACTCTGCTAGGTTTGGTTGAGTTTGCCACTTGGAGTTGCATTCTTCCTGAGGTACAGGAAGGAACAGGCAGGAGTGAGAGAGTCTGCATCGCTGGTCTCTGCAACTTCCCCAAGAAAAAAACAGAAAAAAATGGCATCCTTCCAGCATGCATTCATTTTTTTTCCCTCTTGAAGTTAGTTCCCCAGAAATGGGGATGGTATAGAGTAGCAAACCTAGCCATGTCCACACCTGTGAGAAAACCCAGGACAATGCAGAAAAAAAAAAGGACTATTTTATGGTGTCTTAAAGACAATTTTTTTTCTAAGAAGTCTTTACCAAAACTTTTACTGACAGCAATGGGTACCAGTATGCATACTGTCAGTATAAAATATTAATGAAACTGATAAAAAAATCATTTATGGTCATGAATACACTGTGTAATGTAACACAGTGTGGGAAATCCCCTGACCAGCTCTCAGTCAGTTTAAGCAGTATCTGAAGTGACACACTGTCAAATAAGAAGATGCTAGCTGAGATCCTGAAACAGCATTGAAGTGTCAGCCTTATACAGCACCATAAGAAATTATCTCAAAAGTAGGAGGAATTGGCTTGCTGCAGCTCTACTAAAATGACTACACTGATTACTGGTCTACCGCTAATTCTTTCTCTGATATACTGGGAAAATTCTGCATGGCTTACAGCATAGACAGTCCTAGGATTTATCATAAGGCCAGCACATGTTAGAAAAAAAAATGATACCATTGTGAAACATTATACTTCTATTTCAGAATCCAGCACAATTCCTTAACAACATGGTAAAATAGTTAACATCACATGGTGATAACAGATAAAGTTGCTGAAAAAAAATTACCTCACAACCCTCAGTTTTTGGTCTCTTGATAATGCTTAAACTTAGAAGAAATAAACTAATCACATAATTGCTCTCACATTATGCAGTTACTCCCATATAAAGTAGTTGGTACTCAACTAACTAATCAGGTATGATTAAAACTGCAGTGTTTGTGAATACTTAGAAACAAAAATTTTCCTATAAATCTTAGGAAATGAAATGCAATATGACTATAGCAAAGAAAATAGTATTTAATAAACAAACATTCGTGACAAGCAACAAGTCTGAAAGTTAATGTTTGGATTCCAGGATAAAGTGATGGAAAAATGGATTGATTTAAAATTCAGAGCTCTGGGCAAATTAAAGACGTGTAAAATAAAGAAAGTGGCCAGGAGAACTGAAATGGATATATATCTGGGTTTGGACGATAAAAAATCAGAAAAAAATGTAAAAATATGTATTTTAAACATCTCCTTCCTGCTCAATATAAAGAGTCTGTTTAATTTTTGAACTCCTTTTTTTCAGTTTTGGATACTTTCTGCACAAGTGTAAATGAACATGAAAGTGAAAAATATTGAAGGTAAACAAAAAAACCTGACATTCTCGTAAGGTAAATAAAATAGGGTTTCTGAAATCTTTGTTATAGAATTTTGGAAATAAAATATATCAGAATATATTTTGAAATCCTGAATGTCAATACCGCTAATATTTTGACTAAATATATTAATTGAATTCTAATCAAGTGTAGTAACACTTTTGATCCTTAATTCATTCCACTTAGGATACTGAAGAAAATGTAAGTTTCCTAATAACAATACAAAGATCAAAACACTACTGATAGTTCTAATACCTATTCTACAGATTTTACAAGGGTATATTAACAGCCTGATCTCTGTTTTTTGGTCCATTTCATGTTTTCATCATGTTGTTTTACAGAAATTGTAAAAAAAATCTGTTTAAGCAAAGCATACAATTGTGCAAGTTAACATCTGACTAATCCTCCTGCACACCCTCATAGCTCCCATCTTCAAATCTGATTTCACCTTGAGGTGTGTAAGTTAACCAAGATTTCTTTGAAGGTAACAGTATTTCTAAAGAGGTAGTATTTCCCAGAAAAACGGATTTTAAATATTGTGGTTTCTAAATACGTGGCATACATTTATTTTAATTAAATATCTGCATAAATTGTAGCAAAACCACCACCTTTTTCCAGAAGTAACTTAAAAGCACCAGTATATTTAGTTACCTGGGTGTTTATTATTAATAGCTATCCAGTGGACCTGTGTTAAGGTTCATTCAGCATCAAAACATCAAGATCTTACCAATTAATATGTACCTAAGCATATGCAAACATTCAGAATATCCAGGAAATTCAGGTGAAAAATAGCAAAAGAAGAGAAGAAATATAGAGGTAAAATCTGAACTGTTATAAATTTTAAAATTTTTGTTTTACTGAGTATTATACAAAAAACCCCCAAAACTTCCAGCATACTTAGTATTTCAATCCAAAGGAGTATGGCACAGTCATGGGGAGTATGGTATGTAATTTTAATGTGAACCGTTTCCCTTGTATATAATATGTAGTTATGACCATAAGAAAATACATTAGGTTTGTGTAAACTATTTATAATATTTTTATCTTTTTATAATATTATAAATATTTTAATCATATTTATATTTTTCTGCTCAATTCTCACAAAAGTAAACTTAAAATTTAATGGAGAGGAAGCATTTTGTTTTGGGGTTTTTTTGAAGTGATATTATATAAAAAAAGGAAACAATAGAAAACCACGAAAAGCTATGAAATTTAGATCACAAAAGATAAAGTATTGTGCTGCCTTTTTTTTTTTTATAGCAGTTTTATGGAATTTCACACAGAACAAAGACCAGAGTCCTAGCCAGAAAAATTCGGTAAACTTCACCAAAAGCTGTGGTGATCCATTATTTCACAGAACTAAAAATCTGTCCAATATTATTTAAAAATTAATCATAGTTAAAATTAATCTCAATATTTAGATTATCTTCCGTTTTATACAAATCTACACAATGTATAGCACAATAAATGTTAATTGCAGCAACAACAATGAGTTTTTACTATAATCCCTTACAAAATGTTTTATCACTACTGTATGACATAATCCACTTAAGTCTTGGATAGGCAAAAGGAGATTTATTGTACTTCCTGGTAAATAATAGTGAATGGCTTACTCACTTCTGTGTCTGATATATAACAGGAAAGTTAATTGTCTTTTGTTTTTTTATTTACCTCAGTGCGACCGCAGATAAGCAAACAGTACAAAACAGCATAGAAGTATTTCTTTTCTTTTTTTTCCAGAGAGGAAATAACTATGGCATAGTATTATTAGTTTGCTCTTAATTGGCATAAAGTGCTAACTGATAAAATGAATGGTCATTTTCCATCTAAAATCATAACTTTATATTTTTCAAATGTACTGTCTAAATTGTCCTGACTTCAGACAAAATGTGAAACTTTTCAGTTTACCAACAGCTGGGTTGAATCGGGTCTGTTTAAAAGAATTATCAAATTTAAGGTCCTAATTACCCCTGTGAAAAGATTATAATAAAACATAAGGATGGAATTAATCTGCTGGAATTCAACCAGAAGGTTAATCTGGAGGCTAGGTAATGCTAAACCTCAAACTTCATCTTTCAACCCTTCAAATAATTTAATAATCAACTCACAGTTATGACATTAAAAAAACATTTAAAAATGTCTTTGATGTCTGTTAGACTATACGTAGTTTGTAAAGCAGTGAACTGTTTTTTTAAAAATTTTCTTACAGACTTGAGTTGCTAGAAAATGTTTCATATAATTAAGCTATTTAAAACACTTCATAGCTATTCATGTTTCTTTACGGTGAAAGAGAGGTCTTCTAAAGTGCTTCAGTGATAAATGTTCACTCTGGGATTGCTATTCTCTGGAAAACTCCAGCTCCCACAGACGTAGAGGCAAAGTTTGCCAAAATGAGTTCATTTTTCAAATTAATTCAAACAACTTATGTTTCTGAAGCTGTCTTAGAAAACCACAGGGAAAAATTTATAGAGTGAGCAACTTCTGAGGAGAGAGGGAGGCAGTTTGTTATCTAGTGAAATTTCTTGTGTAGCAGGACCAGCACACTTTCCAGAAGCAGTCTTTTTCCAAAGGCAGTAAACATTTCTTTTTCTAAGGAAGGAGCAAACAATGATTGCTAACCCTTCTCCTTCTTATTGTGTGTTTGTTAATTTGGAAGACCCTTTACACTTTTGACAAGTGGATCCCACCTATTCCAGAGAGGGATCCATGATTGTAAAAGCCAAACCCAGTTATCAACACCAGTCCAACAAACTGATGTTAACTCACAGGATCTGTTCGTTCCTTCTCAAGCCTTTCCATTTCCCTAGCATTATCAAAGTCAAAAAATGCATGGTCCCTATGCCCTTGACCATTTCCCCCATGTGTCAGATAGAGAGAACATAGGAAA